GGGTAATCTAAACCCTTTTTTCTTACTACTAAACCCCTTTTCAAGCGCTTAGTGTTTTCTGAATAATCCCCTTTCAGATGTTGAACCCTTCATATTGTTCTTTGGAAGTTTCAATTAAAAGCCGTGCGTTTTACAGGTCCTTGCGAGATGAAACTGTTAAATTCTTCTGCACTGCTCGTAGAACCTTTAGAAAGTCGAAAGTTTGTAAGATTTTCTTTACAGTACACTGAAAGTGAGGAAAAGTCTGCTGAAGATGACAAATGGGAGCCAAGATTCGCTGGGCATCAGACTATGGAAGAAAGGGAAAAATCTTTTGTTGCACACAATCAAAAGATCAACTGTGGTTTTGTCAAAGCCCCTGCAGGAGCTACATCTACAGGCTTTGACTTGGCTGAAGATGATGCAAAATACATAAGCAGCTGCCACATTGCTGTCATATCGTGTATATTTGGAAACTCAGATCGGTTAAGGATGCCTGCTGGCAAAACGGTATTGTCTATATTACCTTATTCTCACTGATTTCTATACGATGCTATTTTTATCAATTCCCATTTATTTGTGCTAGTTTCATTGGATTCAGCTTCCTTATCTTGTGTAAATGAGCACAAGGTATGCAGAAATTTTGCATGCAAGACAAAAATAGGCCTTATTGTTTGAAAGGTCACATAAATATATGTTTTTAACTATATGTTTACTTCATTGCAGATCTCTCGAACATCCAGGAAAAATGTTTGCTTTGTTATGTTTGTGGATGAAGCTACGTTAAAAGCTTTCTCATCAGAAGGGCGTATGCTGGATAGCATGGGTTTCATTGGGTTATGGAAAATTGTGGTTGTGAAAAATTTGCCCTACACAGATATGCGGAGAGTGGGAAAGATACCAAAACTCTTACCACATAGGCTTTTTACTTCAGCCAGGTGAGAAAATGCTTATTATTGTTTCAAAAAGGCCATGCAGATAGTTTTTATGCCAATATTCTTAAAATGATTTATTCACTAGCTAGAGTCCATCAAACCCTGAAATTTATTTTGCAAATAATGCCTACCAGTAAAAGATGACCTGGCTTGCACTCACATATGTGTAGTTGTATATAATGCGATTTCTATGACTAGCATTTGACACCATTCGATAAAATTTGGATAACAATTTATATCATTGGCTAAGATTATGACAAAAGATTGCACATTTTGTAACTTGGAGATTGGGAAATCATGAATATCGGCTTTTGTTTGATGCGTCATACTTTATCTTTGTGGATCTGAAATTTTGACACTGCATAGTTTCTTGAACTAAAGAGCAATGCCTTCCTGACACCTGCAAGTTGTGAACGGGGTTAAGAAAATGGGGTCTGTGTCTATGCTGAGACAGTGAAATAAACTCAGAACAAGTGTAAAAAGTTTACCTTTTGGATACTATATCTGCACTTGTTTCGACCTGCCTTCATCTGCATATATGTTTTCCTGAAATTGTTGTAGAGCAGAGTATTCCCATATCTTCTTCATTTTGTGCCGTGTGTTTCTGGAGAACTTGTTCTATGAATGATATCTGAATTCAGCTATGTATTTTTCTCTTTCTTTGTCTATCCCAATTGTTTCCATCTTGAATGCCCTTAGGTATTCAATTTGGTTAGATAGCAAGCTAAGGCTACAGCTTGACCCCCTTTTGATCTTGGAATATTTTCTTTGGCGGAAGGGGCATGAATATGCTATTTCCAATCACTATGATCGGCACTGTGTTTGGGAGGAAGTTGCTCAAAACAAGAAACTAAACAAGTACAACCACAGTATTATTGATCAACAATTTGAGGCTTACAAGGCTGACGGACTTAAAAAGTTTGATATATCCGATCCTAACAGACTTCTTCCAAGCAGTATGTATTTTTCTACTTCAACTATGTCATAAAGTTTTCTGCTTTATTTTGAAGTCACCATATTTGTGGTCTTGGCAGATGTACCTGAAGGATCTTTCATTATAAGGGCTCATACGCCAATGTCCAACTTATTTTCTTGCCTCTGGTTTAACGAGGTTGATCGCTTTACCCCTCGTGATCAACTCAGTTTTGCATATACGTACTACAAGCTTAGAAGAATGAACCCTGAGAAACCTTTCTATCTCCACATGTTCAAGGTAAGCAAACTTTTGCTAGATAAACTGGAAAAATGTAAACGTCAATGGCATAGGAATAAAAACTGTAATTAAGGCTATTGCAAAGTAGTGTTAGTGAGTACATAAATCATAATAGTCTATCCCCTCTATCTTTGTGTACTTTCTTTTTAATCATCATCATCATTACCCCAGTGCCGCAAAGGCTCCCAGCTATGGCAGGGTAAGGGGGGTCAGATGTATGCAGTCTTACCCCTATACTAAAGCACAGAAGAATTGTTTCCGGATGACTCATAGTGAAAATCGCGTCAAGAATTGCATGGACCGACTGCTGCTGCTTCATAACAAAGAAGCGCAAACAGTTTAGTGAGCCTTTTTGCTTTATTCCATCATATTCCCAAGCCAAAAAATATTGAGTCTTTGGCTCAATTGAAAATGATGGAAAAGGGTACTTTCTTTTTTAATGAGGTAATTTATTTTCTAATTATAATCAATTGGTAAGTGCTCCATAGGATTTTGAAAATTATTTTACATCAGAAGAACTATGTCAATACTACATACTGATAGAACCTGGTATACCAGGTTCTATCACATACTCAGAGATGATTCAAGTGCAACTATTTACAGATTTTGCTTCAACTGAGGCTATCAACTTCACCTGCCAACCTTCATCTTATATCATCCTTTGGTTACTTTTTTATGTGATATGTTAGTGCATAGGGATATTCTTTAGAAATGAGGTCACGTGCAACTTGAGGAGCCGGATTATTTCACAATGCTATATAGGGAATTTGGATCCAATAAACTGGATTATGTATTGAAAAATAAAAGATTACACTATTGCACATTTCATGAAATAGAATCAATAGATAATATTAAAAAGCATGAACGAGAAATGCATGGAATGAAATGTGAAAGCTGAAAAGAGAGAACTTGAAAGTATACAGGTGAAGTAATATGTTCCCCAAATTATGTTGCAGCTACTCATTGTCATCACTAGTTTTGTGAAGCGTGCTATTTTTCTCTGCAGGACTGTGAAAGGCGAAAGATAGCTAAACTGTTTCGTCATAGATCCGATGAGAGGAGGAAGATCATCTCCCAGCATGAGATGGAGTAGACTTTGGAAACATACCAAGTTTTGGTGAATATTTGATTGATTGATTCGAGCTGGTGTACAAAGACATGCCCAGTCTGCCCCTATTAATTACCTGTAATACCTTTTGTATAGAGCCAAACCCATTCCCAAAGATATGCATTTCCGGAACAATGGCTTTTTTACCAGCTCCCCCAATTTTAAAGAAAATCAGCGTTGGAAGCTTGGAGCCCTCATTATGGCTCTTAAAGTTTCAATTCGTTTGCCTTCAGCCTACCAGGTCAGGAGGAGGCACTCCATATCTCCCCCGTTTATTTTTCTTACGTGTAATTAATTAAAAATTTGTTATATCTTGTTAGTTGTTACATTGTATTTTTTCTTCACTCCGCATAAACCCAGTGTCAAACAGTGATAGGCTGACTATTCAAAGGTGAGGCGCAAAGTTATTTGAGCTTTTGTTTGATCAATGATCTGTATTTACTGTGTGCTGATGTCTCAGTTCTTTATCTGTTTTACAAAATGCAAAATGCTGAAAAATTCTTATTCATGAGGTTGTAATCAAACTTATTACAACTGAAATGGCCAGCATCAAGTTAACAAAAAACAACTTACAGTAAACTTAAAACTTATGTATACATAAGCACATAACTGGGGGTTCTTAAATAGAATTACTAATTTTCTTCTTCTAAATAATAGCAAAGTAACGTCATTCTGAAATTATATTGTTATTACCCAATACATAGGTATATATTTGAAAGAAAAACACAATACTTCTAATAGGTAAAAATTTTTGCCCATCTATTTTGGGTATTTTTTTAAATATAAATATATGCTTGAAGTCGGGGTGCTAATCGAGTGAGTCGAACTTGAGTTTGGGTTAGTTCGAGTAAAAAAAATATAGCTTGATTTGCCTTGGATTTGAGTTTTATCTATTCTGTAAAAGGATACATATATTTTAAATAAAGTGTTTGATTTGTTATGACGTTTCAACGACACATACAGTCATTAACTTTTTGAAAACATTAAGTCACTCTTATAACCCCCATCTGTCTATATATCATTCAGACATTAGAGTTCTCTTTGCCATTTATAATTCATTTAAGCGTAAGAGGAACTAAATCTTATTAATCTTGCTAAATCTATATGAACATCTTGCATAACACTTTTAGAACATTGCACAAAACATTAAACATATGATTTCTAGTACATTAATCAACATGCACATATGATGTAATGTCATATGTATGAATTTAAAAAATCAATATCAACATATAATCAAATAGATTCTGAGCTTTTCAAGTCGTGTAACTTGAGCTTGACTTGGTTTATTTCGAGTCGAATTCGAATACAAGTCAAGTACAAATTAAGTCGAAGATGGAATATGAATCGAGTCAATCTCGAGTCATTTACACGCCATCTTGTTTGATCGGCACCCCTAGGGCCCTAGTTGAAGACTTAGATTCTTAGAAGTGATATTCATATACTAAAAATTAGTAATATATATTAAACATATATATTACTCACTACACGCATATATAAGTCCGTGTATCAGTGTGTGCCTATCACGTATAGTCAATGCCTATACATATAACTTTGTTACAAACCATATCATCTTGAAAACGTGAAAGAAATTGGAATACATTTGCATCGATATATCCTGAGCAAAGAAAACGGGTTGCGTATCCAAGACTTAAAAACCTTGTCCTTTGCTGTTATAACTTATAACATGAAGCTAAAAATTCATATCCACATGGAAATATTTAATCATGGACTAATAAAACTTTTACTGGACTGGTGAAGGGGACAACACATTCACTGGAAGTCCATATTTAATATCTCCCTAGTAGCATTACTTTTGGTTTATTATTATGAATTTGCAAGTCTTGTGGTAAAAGATGAAGCAGATGAAATAAAAGTACCAATATCCCATGAAATCAGAGTTTACAAATGTAAAAGAGAAAAAAAAAATCAACAATATCCGATGCCATACACAACCAAACACACTGATCCTCGACCTGATGACTGTATGCAACAAAAATTTCAACAATATGTCACTTGCTGTCCCTTTGTGTAGAGAAAGTAGAAACTATACAATTCAATGAATCACTTACTCTTGGGGTCAAACAACTAGGTTCAAAGGGTAACGACCCTTCCATCTTATTGTCGTCCATATAAGTGAACACGCCAGCCAATAAGAGATGATCAGCAGCTTCACTTCCATCACGAAAAAAAGTATAGGCATATAATGGAGCTTTTGATTCTTGAATAATGGTCTATCGCATGGTCTCTTGACGCTTAAGTGGAATGCCTTCAATATCATCTCCTTCTATTTCTTCATACTTGGGATGTCGTGACGAGAAGGATTGTGATGACACTGCAGTCAAGAAAGAAGAATCAATAACCAATTTAAGAAGTACTAGAGTATTCACCAAAATATCAAAATTATAAACCTTCATTGAAGTCTTTAGTTTTGTGAAGAAGGAAGGTTCCTGACAGAATGGTCACAAACCCACAGAGTTCAGTAACAATTTGAGTCGCATATTGCCCGCTCCAGTCCTGTTCCGCAAGAACGATACATGTAATTCTATTAAATCACAAAAGCCTTCCAGAAAAAAGATCTAAATTTTAAAAAATAACAAATGTGTAATTTGGAACTTGGAAAGTACGTGGTATACCTTAAACATGATAACGCTGGCTAGAATTGTTAATGTAGTAAACATCACATAGTGTATAGGAGATACGACAGAAGAGTTGAATGTATCAAGAGCCTGCACTTGTCCAGGAAATAGACGAGTTAATGAGAATATTGAAACTTGAATTCCATCTATAAGGTCATGGTCTGATTTTGTATTCTTATTTGGCCAGTTTGGTATGGCTTAACAAGTTCCCTTGAAATCTGTGTGCTTATTGTTGAGACTTACTAAGATTGAATTGCTCATTACAGCTAAATAGATACTATATAAAGACTTGGGTTGAATCCTAAAAAGGTTAACTTAATATGAGAAATAATTCAATGTCTTCTATGTGATTTCTACTTATGCAGAATAGTTTCAACAACAACATCTAAGCCTCCCAAAAGATTTTGGGGTCGGCTAACATGAATCAGTCCATGATACTGGAGTCAAAAAGAAAAGAAAGAAAAGATAAGCTAAGATAAAAAGGATAAGATAGAAATAAAATAAAAAAAGATAAATATAAGATAAAAAGCATCGGAAAGATAAAAACAACATAAGAACATAAGAAAGATTAACAAGATAAAAAGAAAAGAAAAAGAGAGAGAGAGAGAGAGAAGAGATCAATCTTTCACACGAAAATGCACCCTCCACTTATGCAGAAAGGAGTTGCAGGTAGGTCAAACAAGCACTTCACAAGAACGGGGTGAAGCCAATACAAAAGAACATTATATAAATATCAAACTATTCTTTATATATAGGCATAGATAATTAAACATAATGCATTGACAAAATATTTACAAAAATATCACATATTTTCTGGTTTCACTCTATCTTGTATCACGACGCCCTCACCCCCACCAATTGGACACAATTGTTATGAAAAGGGAAATGAGGTGCATGCTACCTTGTTTAAGTAGTTCAATTGCGTCAGCAAGCACGTCACTACAATTAATGCAAAGACCCATGTCTGTGGATACACTAATTGATTTGTACCCTCAAATGTTAACTTCAGTGCTATTCCCAATGCCCTAACACTCATAACCTGCAAATTGTGTATTAGCATTAAGATAAATGTAATATGAAAGGGGTTTTCCTGCAATATTACTAAAATACAACTCATGGACAAAAATATGACTACATGGTCACTGTGGTTAGTGGAATATGCCACAAAGGTCACTTTAGTTTCAAAATGACCATCGTTATAGTCAGCAGTCACTGAGAAAACACATCATAGTCATTGTATTAAATTAAAATCACATTTTTTGCCTATTACTTTCTAGACTTGTAGTTACATAGTTTTCACTTTTCAAAATGAAATTGTATTAAAATATTCAAGAAAGGAAGAAGAAATCCAGGGAATTGCATGGCAAATGAAGCAGCGCTTCTTTTCTTTCTTTTTAGACAAGGAAAGATTACTAACCCCAATCGAGCCCACAAGTGAACAAACTCCAACATAGGCAATTATATGAGTTTGCCCATACTTCGGGAGATAACGAACAATGATTATAACTACTGATCCTACTACCATAGCTCCATACAACAGGAATCCTGTAAAGGAAAAAACAAATACAGTTTTTGCAGTTCATAAATCTAGCAAAAACTCAGCAGAAAAACATCTTACAATATAAAATCGCTTAAATATGTATTTAATTACTGTAAGTCTGTTTTGCTTTGTTTTTCTCTTTCAAATTATATTTTACTCAAAAAAATGCCCTAAATAGGGTTTAACACCATGTCATATTCCAAAAAGTGATATGCCCCCCCCCCCCACATAGGAGTTACTATTGCCATGCTTGGAAGTTGGAACTGCCAATGTGAGCATTAATACTACTGCTATATTAATCTTTGGTAATGCCAAACTATGGTATATGGTTTTAGGGTGGTATTAATTTAGTCCTATTTTTGGGAAAGAAAATATAGTACTACTTTGGAATATCACATTGTTTTACTCCTATTTTGGGAAATTTCCCTATTTTTGTTTTCATTCTTGTAATTTAAATCGTTTCTTCTTTGTCCCTTGCTGACTCTTGAGCAACCTCTGTTTCACAACTGAATTGACACGTTAATAAAATATCGTCTAATTTTTACTTCATTTCATTTTAAAAATGCTTAACTTTCATTTCTAGAACTTTAGATACTTATATCAAAAGAGTGAATTATTAGTTCTATTATCCTAAACTCCACTAATAATCTCCATAAAGTTGACATGAAAATTTAGACTTGAGTAATGCAAGTGATATTTCTTTTTTCTAAATGGAGATTGCCAGAGATAGAATGGGGCTAGAAATAAAATAGATGCATTACAGAATCCAAAACAAAAAATGTTTTTTCTGCATGTAGTAAAGACAAATTTAAGCCGTATACATTTGAGCTATTAAAATGAAATATTTTGAGCATATTGCTCTCATTGTCAATATGTACCTGGCTCAGTTGCAAGATCCCAGAGTTCCTTCACATTCTCAATTTCACGCTCTTGCGGCGCATGCATTACTATGATGGTTGAACCCACAATGCACAAAACACAACCAACAACACCAAAAATGTGTAGTCTCTCCCCTAAAAACATTTGTGCGAGTATAGCACTGCAGGAAGGTATATTTCAGCTACTACGCTACAGAAACCAAAGGAAAAAAACAAAGACTTCCTAGTCAACCATGCTTGCCTGATAATAATACTTAGTGCACCAAGAGGAGTTACAAGTGTAGCTGGAGCAAAAGCGTAGGCAGCAAAATTAGCTATTTCTCCAACAACCACTGCCAAAAGAGAATCACTCAGATAAGCCAAATGCATAGAGCACTTAAGTGAGGGCAGGATAGCACAAAATTAGCTGTTTCAACTTCATTTTATTTTTGGAGTAAGAGCTCTACAAACCAAGCGGAACCCATCTAATCTTCTTTTTGCACTGCCTCTTAAATATCACTGTTGATAAAACGAAGAGACATCTTTAATTTAAGATTTTTTTACTGTAATTATGAGTCTTTAGAGTTTCAGGTTGTAATTAATAGCTGTTGTCTTTTCAGTTCATAATCATTTATGTTTAGTATTCAGACAGTCACCTAGGGTACTGAATAGACTCTCTCAGGCTCCTATCTGTATAAATAGCTTATGTACTTCTTGTAAATGATTCATTGAAGAAGAAGAATATGCAGAAAACTTCATGGTATCAGAGCACGATCTCGTACCAGCCTCTTTACTCTTAATCATCTTTCCAACAGTCTACTAGGGTGTCTCTACCCGCCTATCTGTTTATCCTCGGGTGCGAATCTCTTCACCAACGGTTCTATCATGTCTAAGGAAACTGAATCAACCTCAAGTAACCTCGACCACTCAACCATCGTTTCAGCTGCTACTGCAGCCGCGTTTGCTTTTCGAAACCAGAAATTTGATCTCCCTTCTATCCCGCCATCTTACCGTCTCAATGGCAGGAACTATCTTGGATGGTCAAAGCTGGTTTATACTCTCTTGCGTGGCAAAGATCTTGAAGACTATCTCACTGTCTCTACCCCAGAAGAAGGAGATATTGATGCTGCTATTTGGGAGAAAACTAATGCCAACATACGGGTCTGGTTATGGGACACTATGGATCCCAACATTAGCAGTACATGTTTATACATGGACTCGGCTAAAGAAATCTGGGATTTCATACAGCAGTCCTACTCCGTTGCTAAAGATGGCGCTTTTGTCTATGACTTATGGCTCCAAACAACGAACCTTAAGCAAGATTCACAATCTGTCACAGATTATGCAACTGACCTCCAACGACGATGGTCTGAACTTGACCAGTATCAAACAATGAAGTGGTCGAATGCTGCAGATGCAGCTCTTCACCAGAGCTATATAAATCAGCAACGTCTATATTGCTTCTTGTCTGGTTTAAATCCCGAATATGATCAGACTCGGGGTCAAATTCTTGGCATTACTCCTCTGCCTTCCCTATCTTCTGCCATTGCCACTATCAAACATGAAGAGAGTAGACGCAATATAATGATGAATACAAAGCTGATTGACAGTACAGCTCTTGCTGCCAAATCTACTCCTTCAGATGTCAAGGAAACTAAGGGTAGTAAGGGAGGAAGATGGTGTGATCATTGCAAGCGGTCCAACCATAATATGGATACATGCTGGAAACTATATCCTCATCTACAGAAAGAAAGAAAAGGCCAGGACAGGCGTGGAACTAGTGCTGGACGTGCCAACTCAGTCACTCCCACGATTGTTGAGAGCTCTACTAATCTTTTGCCCATTTCCCAGGAGGAATTACAACAACTTCGTATGATGCTACAGTCTCTTAATAACTCAAATGGTTCTGGTCATAGCTCTTTGGCCCTGCAAGGTAAAACCTCTACTATTTTTTGTCTTAATGCTTCGGAACAGAGTTCACAATCCCAATGGATCTTAGACTCAGGTGCCACATCTCATATGACTGCCATACCCTCTTTACTCTCTAACTATCGTCCATGTTTTACATCCACACACATTACTACTGCTGATGGGACACCTACAGAGGTTGCAGGACTTGGTACGGTTGTTTTTTCTGAAAAATTAAATCTGAAAAACACCCTACATGTCCCAAACCTGGCTATGAACCTTGCTTCTATTTACAAACTCACTGTTGATCTTAATTGTGCTGCCATTTTTTTCCCTTCCCACTGTTTATTACAGGATCTACGCACGGGGAGGACGATTGGAATTGCTAAACAAAGAGATGGCCTGTACTACCTTGATGCACTGTTTGTCTCCAAACCTCCACAAAAAGCTCTTACCTCAATCACAGCCAATACCAACACTATTTGGCTTCACCACAAGCGGCTTGGTCATCCCTCTTTTCATGTCCTAAAAACCATATTTCCTAGTCTTTTTGGTAGTGTTGATGTTTCTACATTTCAATGTGATGTCTGTGAACTTGCTAAACAGTCTCGTGTATCTTTTTCTAGAAGTAATACAATCAGTTGTTCTCCTTTTGATATTATACATAGTGATGTCTGGGGCCCTGCTCCAATTGCTAATATATCTGGTGCCCGGTGGTATGTTACATTTATTGATGATTGTACACGTTTTATGTGGGTTTTTCTGCTAAAAAACAAGAGTGAGGTGAGTTCCATCATTCCCATCTTTTGCAATATGATTCATAATCAGTTCTCCACCACTATAAAACGTTTCCGCACTGATAATGCTCTTGAATACTTCAATCAAACTGTTTCCTCTTATTTTCTCTCAAAAGGCATCGTTCATGAGTCCTCTTGTCCATACACACCACAACAGAATGGCATAGCAGAAAGAAAAAATCGCCATCTCCTTGAAGTCAGTCGGGCTTTATTGTTTCAATCAAATATGCCTAAACACTACTGGGGGGAAGCCACACTCACAGCATGTCATCTCATCAATAAAATTCCCAGTCGTGTACTCCAAAATAAGTCACCCCTTGAATCTCTCTGTTGCTTCTTTCCTCAAACCAGAATTTCTTCTGATCTTGATCTAAGGGTGTTTGGGTGTACTGCATTTGTTCATATTCCTCCACCTCATAGGGGAAAATTGGACCCACGATCTATTAAGTGTATCTTTCTAGGTTATTCTCCAACTCAGAAAGGATATAAGTGCTATAATCCTACAACCAGAAAGACATACACCAGTGCAGATGTGACCTTTCACGAAGACACACCTTTTCACACTCCTACTTCTATCCCTGTTTCCCAAGATACTCCACATCCTTCACCTCTTCCCACATCTCCTCCAGCACATACAATCTCCTACTCTCCTAAGCCTTTATCACCAGACATCCCATTATTACCACTGCCACATGATCATCCATCACCTTCTATAGATGAGTCAGCAACCTCATCTACTTCCCAACAGTCTTCAACATTACCTGAACCTCAATCAAATCCATCACCAGAATATCCCATTCCTACACCTACTAAATCCACCACTCATGACCCACCTTCTCCTCTACCAGTGACAAAAGTGTACTCAAGAAAAAATAGGTTCACTCCGTTGTTGACGCATGACCAATCGGCTGACCCAGGTAATGTCTCTTCTTCTCCTCCACCATCTCCGCCAATTGCTTTACGCAAGGGTGTACGTCAATGTACCAAAACACCTCTATACCCTCTTGCTAATTTTGTTACCATTGATAATTTCTCTCCTTCACATGCCTTGTTTGTTCAGAGACTTAATGAAATTCCCATACCCAACTCTGTTTCTGAGGCATTAGGAAAGAAAGAATGGAGGGATGCTATGCAAGAGGAAATTAGAGCTCTTGAAAAGAACCATACTTGGGATATTGTGACTAAACCTCCTGGGAGGCATGTTGTTGGTTGCAGGTGGATCTTTACTGTCAAATACAATGCTGATGGATCTCTTGAGCGGTACAAAGCTCGTCTTGTGGCTAAAGGATACACTCAGACGTATGGGATTGACTATCAAGAGACCTTTGCTCCTGTAGCTAAGCTCAATACTGTTCGTATCCTACTGTCATTAGCATCTCACTTAGATTGGCCTTTACTGCAATTTGATGTCAAGAATGCTTTTCTCCACGGTGACTTGCATGAGGAGATCTACATGCACATTCCCCCAGGCTTCAATAAAACATCAATAAGTGCCTCTACACATGTATGCCGACTTAAAAAAGCCCTTTATGGTCTCAAGCAATCCCCCCGTGCTTGGTTTGACCGATTCACACAGGTTGTTCTTGCTGCCGGGTATAGTCAAAGCCAAGGGGATCATACTCTTTTTTACAAACACTCTCAACCAAATGGAATCACTATTCTTTTAGTATATGTGGATGACATCATTGTGACCGGTAGTGATCCAGTTGAGAAACAACGTCTTGAGGGGCAGCTGAAATCCCAATTCGAGATGAAGTCTCTTGGCCCTCTAAAATACTTTCTTGGAATTGAAGTTGCTCGCTCATCTGAAGGCATCTTTATCAGCCAACAAAAGTACATTACAGATTTGCTAAATGAGACTGGTAAGAGTGCTTGTCGACCCGTTACTGCACCTATGGATCCTAATCATAAGCTTGGACTTGCTACTGATGAACCCAAGGTTGATTCATCAATGTATCAGCGGTTGTGTGGCAAACTTATCTATCTCTCTCATACCAGACCTGACATTGCCTATGCGGTTAGTGTCCTCAGTCAGTTCATGCATGATCCAAGGAAACCGCATCTCGAAGCAGCCTATAGGGTTCTACACTACTTAAAAGGAAGTCCTGGACAGGGAATAGTATTCAGGAAGGGTGGGCAATTATCAGTCCAAGCCTTCACTGATGCAGATTATGGTGGCTCTCTCGTTGACCGCCGGTCAACTACTGGTTTCTGTGTTTTCCTAGCAGGAAATCTTGTGACATGGAGAAGCAAAAAACAGAATGTTGTGGCACGATCATCTGCTGAATCTGAGCTAAGAGCCCTTGCCCATGGCTTGTGTGAACTTCTATGGATCAGAATTATTCTCTCAGATTTACGAATCAGGTGGAAGGGACCAATGGAATTGATGTGTGATAATAAATCAGCAATCAGCATAGCTCATAATCCAGTCCAACATGATCGGACCAAGCATATTGAGATTGATCGGCACTTCATCAAAGAAAAGGTTGAAGGAGGTCTGATTGAACTAAGCTATACTCCCTCAGAGGATCAAGTTGCAGATGTGTTTACCAAACCTTTGCACAGTCCCAGGTTTCAGAGTCTTATTGTCAAGCTAGGCATGATGGATATCTACAAACCTAGCTTGAGCGGGAGTGTTGATAAAACGAAGAGACATCTTTAATTTAAGATTTTTTTACTGTAATTATGAGTCTTTAGAGTTTCAGGTTGTAATTAATAGCTGTTGTCTTTTCAGTTCATAATCATTTATGTTTAGTATTCAGACAGTCACCTAGGGTACTGAATAGACTCTCTCAGGCTCCTATCTGTATAAATAGCTTATGTACTTCTTGTAAATGATTCATTGAAGAAGAAGAATATGCAGAAAACTTCAATCACAATATGTATGGGAAACATTTGAAAGTTGCAACTCATGAAAGCAACAAACTCATAAAACAATCACCAGGCCTCTCTCTGTCTCTCAAATGTTCTTCCAAGAAAAGAACGGCATATAACGAATTGTTTTCACTCCTACCCTCTTATTTGGCAACTAGCCAGATTCTTGATATTTTACTACATTAGAAGTACGAGATGCTTATTTTTTAATTGGAAATGAGTGAAGAGTCTTGTAAAATCAGCAACTTCTTTAAAGACATGTATGTATTGGGAATCTGGGATTGAAGCATATATGATAATTCTTTCTCAGTAAAAGCTACTTTGTTTCTATCTCCTCAATATTACAATTATTCCATGGATGCATTATAATCTATCCATTCCCTGAAGGAACAGGATTCTATCAAAGTGGAAGAGATTTTTGGAGAGAGGGAGAGGGGGGGAGAGATGTGTGTGCGTGTCTATAGAGAGAGAGCCCACTTGTTAACATTCCAGCCCACCATAGTGGCTCCAATAAGTAAGAATAGCCTCCAGCACCTGCCACAACAAGAGTTCAATAAGTGACCACAAATTGCACAATCCCTAACAAAATTGATCATTTCTAATAAAGCTACGCAAAGGCATAACAAAAGTTTTTGACACTGCAAAAGCCAAGAAGATGTCATGATGACTGTGTTTAAAATGGACAAATTAATACCTACCCAGTACCCACAAAGGATCACGTTTCAGAGCATGCTGTACGAAAAAAACTATTTAAAACTTGTGGGGTTCTGTTTATTAATAAAGCTACCCAAAGGCAATGAACGTGAAAATAAAAAAGAGTGGTTCTATACTTCTATTTATTAATAATATCATCAGCATTTTTGAAGCTATTTCTTGTGTCTCTTCGGCAAGTACACGAAATTCGGTTTATACCAAAGATGGGAAGGAATTCTACCCCGCCAAGGGAAAGTGCCTGTTTATCTTTGCTTTCAATCTTCTTCTTCATCTCCCAACCATGCTTGTAACATTTTAATAGTAATAGAAAACTAATACTTATACCAATACTTATTTTATTACTAATACGACAATGCTGGCTGATATGAGTCCCATGCACAGAATTCAGAACAAAGATTTGAATCTTTTGCTCTTTTGGTGAAAGGAAACCACAGAAGGTGACCTAATGGAATATATTGATCATGTATTCCATCATATTTATGGGCCTCTCCATTCTCCAATCGTTTTTCTAATGCATCTGTTCACCGCATTATTCGAAAAACAATTTTTTCTTTGTCTCACACAAAAAGGTTGTCATAAGTCATGATAAATGATTTGTGGAATGGGATCTTTGAAGAGGTGATGAAAATGCAAAATTGTAACTGAGACAACGTTTTCACTATTCAAAATATGAAAAAGTAACAAGTATAGAAAAACTTAATGGAGTAGCTAATGCACATATAATAAATCTCTTCTAAGGAAAAAGGGAAAAATGGAGAACTAACAAGTAAAGAAAAGGTTTCAACTTTCCCTCAGTTCTCCAAAAAATAACTCTTCAAATTTGAAAAGGAAGAGCATCGGAAAATGAATAAATTATCCAGTACGATAACAGTTGAATTGTTGAAGTGGCTTGAGTCTTTCAAGTAACTAAAGCCAACAAGCAATCCCAAATTCAATAAAAGAACATTTGATGCAACAACAGCAGTGTACAGTGTAGTTAGTCTTTTTTCACATTACAAGGAAAATCTCTCTTTCATGTGTCTGTGGGTTGGCTAATTGGCTTCATGATTTGGATATTAGACAAAAGCTAAGACCATGCTTCCATACTTGTATACAAATGGGAAATGTTCCTGAACAGTAGACAGAGTACACACAACAACACCATAACCACAGCTTCACTTCAACAGATTTATATCTAAGACGCCTTAGAGAAAGAATCAGTGTATGACAGCATTCCATTGTATTCAAACACGTTATATCTAAACTTCATTCAATTAACAATGGGGAAATGAGATTTAGTTCTCAATGAAGAAATGGTAAATACCAGCTCTAAGACCAGATCCAGAACCAGCCTTCTTGAGTCCCTTTTTCTTGATAATGAAGCTAGACCCAATGAAGAAACTGGATGAGATAGCCAAGACCACACCTTTGATGTTATCAGCAGACATAACCTTCTCCACACTCTCCAAGCTTGTGGACTGCACGACCCCTGAAATAGTACTCTCCATCTATTCAACTTATAGACTTATATACTACACCTAGAGATGCGTCAAAGTAAAACTGAGAGCTCTAGGAAAGGTTTTTTCTTCCACTTCTTCATGCCCATACCCATTTGTGTGAATGGGTATTTGAATACATAGCTCCCTGGAATTGCTATATTGTTATGCAGAGAAATTGGGCACGGAAAGTACACAAATCAGAAGGTTGGCATGGAATTTATGGGTATTATTATTATATGCGAAAAGGATTTTAATTGTCGGATCGATGACAAAGAGTCCTTGATATAGAAGTGGAGTATATAAGAAATATGTTTTCCTTTTCTTTTCCCTCTTGGATCGAGACAAATGGGAAGCTCTTGCCCAGCTGGGCTTTTGTTATGCAATACTCCATCGTCATTTTGATTCGACACTTCATGATTATTTTCTTCTAAAAATATTACAAAAAAACTATTTGTACCCATATTGTACCCACTTTTATACTCACCATGTCTGTGAGGAGTTTTTTTGTCTGTGAATCCCGGTCATAGACAAAATATGTCTATGCAGACATAGTGAGTACAAAAGTAGATACAAGAAGAAGCTCTCAAAATATTATTATGAATGCATTATTAAAATAAAATTAATAAACAAAGAGTGTTCACTTCAAAAGAAATAAAGAGGTTGATTGCAATGGTTTTTAATTGTTTATATTTTTAGTTTTAATTAGTTTTTACGGTGTGGTAATTACACATATACGGCGCAACCATTTAATTTTCGGGGAAAATAAATAATATACCCCGGACTTTGCTTTGGTGTGAGCTCCCCACCCCGAACTTGTCCTAGTTTAAAAATACCCCCAACTTTATTTATTTAAATTTGTTGTACCATATTTTAATTAAAAAATAATACGGAGTATTTCTCAAATTAAAATATGTTAATTAGATCGATTTAGTTTGCAAAAAAAGATGTGTGATTCCCAAAAAAGTGTGCGCTTTCTTAGATAGTTTGGTAGGACATGGGGCATAAATATCTCAATTTTACAAAGTAGGAGATCAGATACTTATACAATGTAGACAAGTTTGGGGTAGGGATATCACACATATGCAAAGTTTAGGGTATTTTATTTATTTTACCCTTAATTTGTTGTAATTTATTAGATTTAGAATATCTTGAGCTTGAATAAATTAGTCTACAACAAAGGAGCACGAAAGAGACTTTACAAGATCAAAAGAAAGTTCAAAGTGAACAAGAAATTTTGCAAGAATTGTGATTTGGTGTCGCATCTGATCGAGTATAGTGAATACTCGATCAGGTATGGTTTGACCCGGAGAAACACGATATCAAATAAAGCAAGAGAACATGAGAAAATTAGATTTGGGCATATACCCGAGCGGGTATATTGACATACTCAGTTGAGTATGACATGCCCGATCAGGTATCCAACTCAGCCTCATAAAAAAACTATAAGTACACATGTTTTCCTTTCTATTTTGATATTCATTCTTCCATATACTCAAGCTCAGTTTAGATTAATGTTTTATTTATACTTCTTTCATGTTTAATCTCCAATTATGGAGCTAAACTTCTTGTTCTTGATTTTGCTATCTTGATACTTGTTAAATGATGTTAATATTGTGAGTTATTTTTTAAAACTTCTCTTCTTAAATATTAATGGTTCTCTTATTCTATCTCTGTATTAATGTTGGGGTGTTGCTAAGTAACGAATAGTGAACTCTTTACCATTAATTACTACTAGAAACGATTAATGAACAAGTGTTAATCGTTGATGGTTTCACAAGTAACTTTGAGTTGTTCATGCAAGGTCTCATGGTTAAAAATCTACAGAGGGATTAATATGTTGGTTGAATCGAAATCGTTGTGTTGAGGTAATCAACCTCAATTAATTTCATCAGGAAGTTAAGAGATTAAATGCTATCATCAAGTCGGTAAAATTGTGATGTTCTATACTTGGCTAATAGTAAAAATTATTAATGAATGATCTCGTTATTAGTAATTACTCTCAGTGAATTGAAGATACCCCACAATTGAGTTTCAAGAGGAGATATTTAAAGATATAATCGGGATCAACAAACATTTCAACAAGTAAAAAGTAGCAAAACCAAGTTTTATCTTATTTATTTATAGTCACATAATTCATTCATCTTAGTGTTATAATATTATCACGATCAAACAAATCCTAAAACCCCCTTTGGCTACAACTTCATAAAGAAGAATTATACCTTTCTTTGTGGATACGAACTCTACTTCAATATACTACGTATTGGCGCTAATATTTAATTGAAAAAATGGCCTCTATATTACTACTAGTATGTGTACCCGTGCGTCGCACGGTAAGAGTAGTTCATGGTTAATTTTTTCAAGAAATGAAAAGTGTATTTTAAATAATTAAAAAGAAAGGAAAAATATACAAAGTGGAGAAACGACTCAGTATCGATCATATCAAATATTTTAGTTTGTGTTACCATGATATACGTTATAGACTGCAGTAAGTTTATAGATTTTGTTTTTGAGAAACTGTAAGTTTATAGAATTGAAAATACAAATATGAATATAATTAAATATTATTATACTTAAAAGGGAAATTATCATTGACCTCCCTTGAGGTTTGATGCATTATCAATCACACCCTTATACTATCAAAAATATACTTTTACCCCCCTCCCTATCCTTTAATGATGATTAAATAACTTCTAATCTATATTTAGAGAAAACTATAGATATAATTTCATTATTTTTCGTTAGGTCTGCTTTTAATACTGTAATTTTATTCAATCGCAAATTTGATCCGGTAATTAATAAATTTGTCCATATTAATGACATTTTTATCGGAAGTCGAACAAAACTGACCCCACTCTAGGTAGTTCGTTTTATACCTTTGTATTTGTAAAGTGACTAAATATACTCAACTGACATGGAAATGATCAAAATAAGCTAAATTTGTCAAGAACTGAAACAAATCAACTTAATTGAACGAAACCGACTCAAAAGTGATGTTGACTACTCGATTTTACCATTAAAGATTGAATGCAAGAAAATTCCCATTTTGCACTCTAGAAACTTTTTTATCACTGAAAATGAGATCATTATAGGTATAATATAACTTGTAATTTAACATTTGACAAAATATGAACATGTTTACATGTAAAATATTGGTAAAGACATTATAATTTATCATGAGTTTCACACCCAAACTGGTTAGTGCTAAATAATTAGTGTCGCCCATGACCTTATCTTCGGTTCTAATCTCCTAATTTGTCTAGGTTCGCTCCCGATAATTTAAATATTTAACTACCTATTTTTAACTTTTAAACGGACTATAACCGATTTTAAAATGTTTGCAATGGTTTTAATGAAAAAATGAACGGGGTCAAACCATGGGCTCCAATCCTGGTCCAAAAAGTGAGGCCTGAGGCCTCTTGTTCACCGGTCTGGTCTCGATCCCAACCTAAAATGTTAATTAAAAAACAGGTCATTCTCGAGACCGGGCTTTGTCCTCCGCTAATATGAACCACAAAAGTAAGTACTTCTCATACAAATTTACCATAGGTAACAATAGTCTCCTAAAAGTCCTTCAACAACATCTGTTTTACGTATAAAATAACATTCCTCGTTATTAGACATCTTTCTCTCGTCAGAAAAGTTTCACCAAGATTTCTACAACCTCAAATATATTTTTGAACTTTTAAAAGTAACGGAGATTTATGGTTTTAAGCTCGTACCTTTCGATTGTGTCTGCTAAGTGTATAATTTTACTCACATGTAGATGTAGTTATGTACCTTGTCAATAATAAGGGCTATTTCATTGGAAAGTACGCGTTCTTGAAAAAAATTACTTTCTGGTGGAAAGATTTTGAATACAAGTAAATTTATTAATTATCAGGTTAAATATGCAAGTGAGTAAATTTATAAAACTCAATTTATACTATTTCTAAACATAATTAAGAGTTATTAAACTTTCATTAAAGGATAGGGAGGGGGTAAGTGTATATTTTTAATAGTGCAGGGGTCTAGGTGATAATACATGAACCCTCAAGGGTGGTAAATGATAATTTCCCTACTTAAAATAATTGTTTAAAAAGAGTTAGTTCACAGTTGTACGATAATCATAATTTGAAAAGGAACATAAACAACTTATAAAAGAGTGAGGGAGAAATGGCTGAATGATTTAACATTTTATTTAAAAGGCTATACACATCATAGTGTATTTATCATTATTTATTAGGAAAATTTTGTCAAAAAAATTCTTCAAAAGCTCTTCAAGGGATTGCTTTATTATATGGTTGATTCTATGGTATCCATAAGTACCATATCTTTGTCCACATGGATCAATCAGAATGTTGCAGTTGAATTTTTTAAATCAAAACAAAAAATGATATAACGATTTGGACCAATGAAGTGAATGATAGGTACGGTACCTCATTTTTTAAATGGGTACCAGAGTTGTCACCTTATTACTTCCTCCGTCCCATTGGACTTTGCCAAGTTTCTTTTTTTGGTTGCCCCAAAAAACTTTGTCACTTTCCCATTAAAGTAACTATTTTGGTTGCACAATCTTCAACCATACAATTTTTACTATTCTTATTTCTCACCTAACTCAATTAGTCCAAAGTCCATTGGGACGGAGGTAATATATTATATAAATATAGATGTGGAATTTTGGAAGTTGAATAGATTTTTCTTTACTCTTTTAAATGCTTATAAATGTTAGTACATATTTTATGTCATGTATGCCACATGTCAAATTTTCTTATAATGAGTGTTGCCACATGTCAATCACTTCTACATGGAGGTCTCTAAGAGTTTGCTTTATTATATTACTAGTATGTGTACCCGTGCAACGCACGGTGAGAGTCATGGTTGAATTTATCTCATCAATAATATAAAAATGAAAAGTAAAATTCAAATAAAAAGAAAGGAAAAACACAAAATGGATAAATGTCGCGGTTTCATGTAGGGGTGGCAGCGGGTCGGATTTATACCGGGTGAAGGCCCATCCGTCGTCCACCCGTTAATTTTTCATAGTTCACTCATCCGTTCATCATCCATTAAAAATCACATCCACATCCAATCCATCCATTATGAGCGGGTTATCGGGTGGATCGGGTGAGTAACGGGTGAATATTAATAGTTAAACTTGAAAGACAAAATAAAAAAATTATAAAGAGAAATCATAAAAAAATAAAGAATTCATTGAAAAATAACAACAAAAACTTGAGCAATTAAGTATATTACAATCATTAATTCACTGCCGATGATAGTGCTGGGGCTGGACTCCTATTTTTGTCGCTACGATGCTACTCCATTCTCCATATAACATATCTATTAATATTAACTATTATTATAAAAAAAGTATTAACTATTATTATTAAATAATTATTATAATATTATATATATATATGTATATATGTATATATATATTTATTTA